TACATATAGTGACCAAAGTATTTGGTGGGTTAAATCTAATCTCGTATATAGATCGAAATTTGTATATTGTTTACGAATTCTAGGTCGCAGTAACATGTCTGAAAGAAATAGTACTAGTAACACACAAGTATTCTATTTATAGAACTTTACACTTTTTTACTTTCGGTCAGTAGTCTCCTAAAAGAATTATTTGGGACATTTGAGAGACCAGCGCAACCCGAAATATCTTAACAGTGAAAATGAATTTGCATTAAACCCGAAATGGTTCAGGCCAATAGAAATTTTCATAAGTATCAAGTCCAGTCTGTATTTAAGACCAAGCTATATTGTCCGTTCTGATATCACAAATTCTTAACTTCTCCATATGTAATACATAAAGAAGACCTCCTACTGAGATATTCTACTCCTCAACAAAAAGAAACTTTCTTTTAGGAGACGCAGTATAAACAAGAATTGGCCAGTCTCATAGCCACACGTTGTTACTTACCGTTTTATATTTCTATAAGTTATTTGTCGATGTTACTATAGTCCCTCAGAAAGACTTCCTTCCTGCCCCGCTGATGTTCTCAGATTTCCTCACTTTTATAAATCTGTTCCATACCGGGTTGTGAGGCAAATCTTATGCTTACACATCGAAACTCTTTTGTCATGGCGTGCATTCGCCTGATTTAAAAGAACGGCGTATGGGACATGTGATTTATAGTCTAAACGAAAGACGACTGCTCGCTAAGAACTCGATGATTCCGAAGCCATTTAAAGAACACAAATATTAGAAATGGTTTCGAATCTGAGGATTATTCGTGTTCAGGTACTCACATTCAACCTCAGCTAAAAGAGTTCACCCACCTGCCCAGTGACTCTCTTCATGTTCTTGAAGGAAAATGCAACATTTTTATGAATCTTTTTCTTCTTCTGAAGAGTGATATACACGTTTTATATGTTGAATGGTTAGTTCGCAGATGACATTGAGATGACAGCATCGTGACGCAGGACAAATATAATTATTTTTAATCTTCGGATCGCTTTCAACTCGTTCTGCGCTATTCCATATTTCATTGTCCTCTGTTTGTAGGTCTAGAAACGAGCCATTATACCGACAAATTTCTGAAGGATTGGCTTTTTCACAATTTATTATTAAGTGGAGCAGGTTGTAGCAGTGTTTGTCAAGATGGTTATCCTCTGTGTTGTTGTGCCGTGTAGTCTGGTAGAATTTACAGACGTTTCAGAGGTACTTGCTGCCTCCATCATCCCCTATTGATGGAGGCACGTCGGTAAACTTCTACCAGACTTAAGACAGCCGTCATCGGATTGAGGCTAACTCACCCTGTCGAAACTGAGCTCTGACTTTATGCCCCCAGCAGTTAGTCCCGTTTTACTTTTAACTTCACTGTGCTGTCTCCACTGAATGAGCCCCTAATTCAGGGTGCCTGAATTGTGCACCGAACACCTGGTCGCCTTGCAGTTGCCGAAAGGACCGTAACATTTATACCCAATGCCCGAAGGTCGTGTATTGTTACTTGAGCGTAAATTTCCACCAGGAGAAGGGATTAGGCTTGCTGTTTGCTGAAAGCATTGTCATGAATTTGAAGGAGCTCCATGACTTTTCTTAACTGCGTGAAAAGATTTGTTATCGACTCTGACAGAAAAATTACACGGTCTGATGCTAAATAATGCAAATCAGCCGGATGAAAGGAACATCCAGCTAAAAGGATGAACTCACTCTTAGAATTTCAAATCGGGGTACAAAAGTCATTTGAAATTTATTTTGTTATTCGTTGTGGGAAATTGCGCATTGTCATTTATTATTAAGCGTGTTTAAATATAAACGAATTTTCATGTTAGCCCAAGTGTGTGACTAGCTTCTTATATCTAGTCTCAAGAATTAGAGCCCCTCTATATGAATAGATTTTGGTATAAATCTATATAGAAAACACGAAGGTAACTTTTAAGACATGAATAATCAGTCTGTTACCTCGGAATCCAAGTGATTTAATGATCTCTCATTTTATACTCTCTCAAATCAATGTTTGAGACCCTCGTAGTAGTTCTGAAAGTATATATATATACATACACATATATGCTATTGACAAGTATATATATTTACCGATTATACAGAAATTTTTAACGTAACATTTCCCAGGTTCTATGAAGACACTGAATTTTAAATTAAAAACAAAGCTTTAAAAGTCTAAACCATGTATTTATACACTCCTTTTGAAACACATGACATCTATAAGTTATTATTTTTTAAATTATACTTCTTTCGAGAAGCGTAGATCTATAAATATATGAAAATATTCAGATCTCCCACTCAGCCTTCACCGAGGAATAAAGCTTAGTTGCCTTCGTTTAAGTCTTGGCATTCGACAGTCTCACTGACACAAGCGTCGTATCTGCTGAGAGACATAAACTGGGCCTGCTTACTATGTTCTTAACGTCTGTGTCAATATTTTTTATGATAAACTTCACCACAATGAAGAAGACTTCTTTCATCCTACGAAACGTAATTATTTACACAACGTAGTGGTATTAAAACTCTATTTGTATTATCGACACGATTTGCCTACCCTTAACACTCAAGGGGCAGTTTTAAAGGAAATGCCGTACTGGATATAAAATGCCTGACAAATATTGTCATTTATTGATACATTTCGACTTACATGTTGTAAGGAACGTCCACAAATACAGCGTACTTGTTGATTTTAAAATGAAAATAAGGTCTGTACACTTATAAAACATCAGAACTTAGCATAATGTCTTTGTTGTATCATATTTTTAACAGAAAATATACTAAAACTGTTATTAGCGTTAGAAATATTTGACACTGGTATTCTCGGTTGTGACACCATGTGTACTTGTAGGTATATATCATAATTTTGGAGGGAAATACTGCCTTCATATCTAACCCCAAAGATAGTATTGTACATTTCTCAAAAACCTTGATTGTTTACCGATAAGTCCACACGTCATCGCAGTCACAAGAAAATAAAATCACATAATATCAGAAGTTTGTTATTACAAATGTAAACTATGCCGTACGTATAACACATGAGATGCCCATAAGCGCTGGAATTTTGGTGCACAGAGCGAAATTTTAACCATTATTAATTAAAAATAAACCTAACAGGAAAGTTCCGTGGTGAAGTATGCATGGGTGGAATTTTACGCAACACTGCGAATTGCTAAATAATTTAGTTAAAACATTGTACGAATGGCTAGCTCCAGCTATGTAATTCGATACACTTCAGTGAACAGATAAAATCCAGCCTATGAGAATCAAATGTTTTGACAATTTCACAAAAAGTGTTGTTTTGGAGAATAAATCGAACAGATGCCGCGAACATGACAGATTTAAATCGACGAGAAGTAAATGTGGATATGTTTGAAAGATATGGAATGCCAGATTTAAATCGACGAGAAGTAAATGTAGATATGTTTGAAAGATGTGGAATGTATGCTTCCAAATGTCAGGTGACTGAATGTAGCTCATATTATCTAACGCTTATACATGGAACACAAAAGTTAATTATATGTGCAGCAAAAACAACCATTTGTGTTTGTTCAAATCCGTGTAGGCCTAAACAAAACCTGTGTTTTTCCAGCCTTTCCCTAAGCGAATTTATCACTCATACTGAGAATGTATTTAATTTCCTTCATACTGGTCTTGTTGTATCATAAAACGTAGGTACAGGCTTATTAAATTCGTCACTGGCTACTGAGTTATTTTTCATTCGTCTACGTAAGACGTTTCGAGAGCTAGTTTCGTCCCTATCTTCAAATAATTGAAAGTCATCAAAATTTCGTAACAAATGTCTACCATGGTTTAATTTTTAATGTAAAAGGTGCCGACTAGAATCAATTCCGGAACCTTTGGGGGGAAAAAAGTCTAGTGCGCTGACTACTGGCATCTAAACAGCTGTGAGACTTGAAAGGTTTTGAAAAACATTTTTGCCAACAGAATATCTGCCAATGTTTACAAGGCAAAGTTTTAGACTTTATGTAGAATACGTCAACAAAACTGAACGATATGGCTCACTGGTAACATTACTTGTCTAGGATCTGACGAGTACGTGATTCAAAACTCGTCCAAGCTCTTAGATAAGTCATGGCATTTCTCAGTCTCTAAAGATGATGCCGATAGAGCAAAATTAAGAATCATTGAATCCTGATATCGTCTAGAAGGATTAACAAACCAATTTTCATTCATTGAAGTGTGTAGATGGATTTCCAGACATACTTCATTACCAGAGACCAGCGTTTCAACTGGCGGCCCGCGAAGGTATTTATTTTTTACTAGTTAGTACAACCAATTTATTAAAAATAATTGTTGCAGGAGCAAATTTAAAATAATATACAACTCTGTAGCGGTTTGTGCATATTTAAATATAATTTATATTTCAGCATATGCAATGATAATTTGTCATTTCTGAATAATATAAGGACAATGCAAAATTAGTTACAGTAGGGGTTTCTTGGCCTTTGGGTCCAACAGGAAAACTATTTTGGACTGAGCGAGTAGAAAAGTTGGACGACCCTGCCATAGACGATACCATATTATTCTGCCTGGAGGCCTTGAAGCGGAATGCGAGCTTCACGTTGCAAGTCCTAGTACTGAATTTACGGAGTCGACCGTCAGATGGGGTTGCAGTCTCCTGCTATCGAGAGGCGCGCTAGTCATTTGTGAACGAATTCAGTTCTGTGCGAGTTCGAGACTCGTGTAGAAGTTGCGCGGGGTTTCGTGCACGGCAACACAGCGTGTGATCGAGATATTTATAGTGCGAAATGTATGTATATTTCTCCTGCCTTTCTCGCGTTACGTGTCTACATTTGTTACAAACTGTTGTTAATCGATTCTTTGCTTCAATCCGTTTATATAGAGATTCATTGCAAATTGTTGCTAATGTCATATGTGTATTTTAGTGAACAGGAACATGCATGGATACTTAACATTCAGTGAAGTGTGGCGTAATATTGTTTTATGTGGTTTCTGAAAGTTAACATTCAGTGAAGTGTGGCGTAATAATGTTTTGTGTGGTTTCTGAAACAAACATATAACTTTTAAAGGAACTTGACAGAAAGTCTGGTGTGAAAATGCTTTTCGTGGGAGCAACACTGACCTGATACCAGAGTGCAAGGTAAGCGACCTACTGAACCTAACCTAAACAATATGGCTAGGGTTACAAACTACTTTGGCTGATGTTTAAATCAGTGCCAGTTTATAGTTTTTCTTCAGATAGTTGAGTACTTCATACTACCTAGACTATAGTGGAATTATAATCGTGGGAAAGCCGAGCAAGGGGAGCTAAAGACTATTATCGGGCCATGCATTTGTTTTAAAATTGGCGCGCTATTTCATATTCGTGCATTCTTCGTTTATGTTCCTGGTTTTTGAGATCTGTAACTTTTTATTAAGTTATTCAACTTACCATCTTCGTCTTTCTCAACTTGTCCAGCATAAAATCTACTATACTATAAACTGCTTAATTCATTTCTGTAAAATTTACTTTTAATAATCGGTACACTGATGGTTCCTTGCTTAATTCTATCTTCGTTTATCGTAGGTTATGTTTATACATGTCGATGCTATCTTGGAACATTTAATTTTGGAAAGCTACAAGTTCTCGTTCAAAATTATTTGTAATCGGATGTCTTACTGCCTGAAGTGGTAGTACTGTGTGGTATTTTATTTGCAAGTTCGTTCATAAAATTTATCTGGTCCGTTTCAGTGCTGCCCTGTAGTCGTATAGTATGATTCATGCCTGGTATTACATTAAACAGACGAACAGTTTATTAAAAGCAATACCAATTGAGTGATATTCGTCTTTCCACACTTAAAGATATTCTTTTTTTTTTTTTGGTATTCATTTTGTAAACAGTGACTGAAGTTTTCGTGGCTTTTCTCAGTTCCGCCAGGAAAATGTCGGGATGGAACCTAAAATTTGGCCACTACGTCTTCCTTCTACATTCTTTCCAATTCATCATACAATCTTCCGACGCCACATAAATAAATAATTCGCAGGGGGTTCCCAGGGGATGAATTAGTATGCTAGATAATTTGAATTAAGTAGATGTGATAACATTTTAGATTTTATAAATTACAAGTGTTCATAATATTCGTAAATGATCTATATGTATATGTAATATTTTATAATCCCACGTATTTTAATTGTATGAACTCAACTGGTTCTGACCAGCCCAATAGATTTGTTACAGACCGAAGGATTTTGATCCCAATTAAATAGTTAATTTATCGTTTACTCAAAAGCGTATCATTATTTTTACTTAACACACTTGTTACCAGAGAACTTGGAAATTTTAAAAGCTCTCAACTTAATACTTCAAGTAAACTTTGCGTAAAAGTTTTTTTCTCCAACGCTAGATCCAATTCCTAATTAAACTTCGTCACAAACTCTGAGCATATCAGAGACTTTCTGTTATCCTTTTCTGGCGCGGAAGAAACTCAAATATTAACTTTGGCGTAGGTGTACGTGTGTGCTATGCCAAGTTATTCGACTCGTAATTTCATTTTACGTGTACAGTTTATTCCGTACTTACATAAATCTCATTCCTCTTTGACTTGGTAATATTCAAGCATTGTTCCTTTCTCCTTCGCACTCACCTTTCTCATCTCTTTTTCTAAATTTCTTCTGCCTTTGTAAGCTGGTACCGATTGAAGCGCTTCCAGTGGTAGACGAATGTAACCACAGAAACAAGTCTCGTTCACATTAACACTTTTCTTATCTACTCGTCGCAGTCTTTTGTATCTTCCAATGCATTTAAATAATTTTAAGTGTAACTTTCAGAATCGAGAACACATGTTTTCAGTTCAACGATGCCGTATTGAGCTTAAACTTTTATTTCCTTGAATGTTTTTTTATTATAATAAAATCTGGACCTCGGGACTTTAGAAAACTACCAACATTATCCTTCTCAATTACTAACTTTTAATTTCACGACGATAAGGGTTGTCCACCACTGATCTTCCGTCTTTTCCCGGATCGTACTAAATCGTAACATTAAAACGAATCGTGGGTTGTGTAATGACGTTGTACCAATGACAGAGCATATTGTGGGATGATAGAAACAGAGACAAAACGAAAGGCTAGTAATTTAGCCCAACGTTGTCATGAAAAAATTGAGACTTAAAGGAAAACCGAAATGTAGCCAGTCCGACAAGGATTTGTAAGTGAACTTCCAGAATTCAGCAGATTAGTGGAAGGTAATCTTGTTTGAAAGGACGTTTAAATGTAACAGGTGCTATAAAATGTATAATTAGGCCTATGCGGTAGGACTGGATCGCTTTACTGTCGAAACAAGTGTTAAGAAATTACCATACGAAGTATTATGACACATGAAAATACTGAACCATTTTCAGATATGCCGGAAGATGGATTTATGATTTTGATAAAGATACCGGACCTGATTTGACGGTATTAACTAAATTCGTGTTCTGATTAGGGTCATTCATCCGAAATTCACGAAAGTTTGACGCTGTTAGACTTTAATCCGCACAGATAGACAGACAGACTGGCAAGGAAATAATGTTTATACGGGCTGACTGGCAGACATGGTTTGTCCATGAAACGTCGTGCCATACTTCACCGAGTACAAAACCTAGAAAAATCAACGCAGTGCAATCAATTTGCTTTGTGAACCGATGTGATGAGCTTTGCCTGATAGGCAAGAGGATGTCGTTAGTCCCGGTCGTGGGACCAGACGCCGATGGTGGATTGTGGTTTATCACATATCGTCCCGTCGCAGCTGTCAGCAAATCGCGTTCTTCCTCAGGAATTTCTTGTTTTCGGATTCGGGCTCACGGCTGTCCGCTCTAACACAGGTTTAAACGGGTTCGTCAAACTTTTCAGATGGAAGACACTAACTGGTTATAATCTCCATAAAATCTGTAAAGTCCATTGCTCTTATTTCGCTAGTGAACCAGCATTTTATATTAACAACGCGATGTTATTCAAGGTCTCTTGGCTGGATGCCGTGCCCCACCGGAAGTTAATTTTTCTCACTCTTTTCATTGACCTCTGTCTGAATTGGTGATAAGCCATCATTCATGTTCTAGACGTAGTTTAATTCGTATTTCATTTGTGTCTTTGGGTTCTGTTTCAAAGTTGCAATGTTCACATCCAGAAGACGATTAGACCTAAATCTATTCAATAATACGCAATTTCCTGTTAGTACTATCGAGCTGTCTGAATTGGTGATAAGCCATCATTCATGTTCTAGACGTAGTTTAATTCGTATTTCATTTGTGTCTTTGGGTTCTGTTTCAAAGTTGCAATGTTCACATCCAGAAGACGATTAGACCTAAATCTCCTATTCAAGAATATGCAATTTCCTGTTAGTACCACCGAGCAGGTTGGCTCAGCGTTAAGTCCGTGGCTTGTATTCGATAAGGATCCGTTCGAATCTGTCCCGAAGCCTATTACCGGAATATTGTTTTGAAATAGATTACGACTGTTTCGTTTTTGTTTCACCTTGCTTTATCATTTATTCGTTTCGTTTCTCTCACGTTATCCCGTGAATTTGAAGTTGTGATATAAAATGATACGAGAGAAAAATTATGTAAGGAAATTTGCTTTGTTGTAAATAGATGGCAGCTTGAATTTATTCAGTTATCGTATAAATTTAACTTGTATATTTAATGCGTATTTAACGATGCTGTTAGTAGTTAAATCCGTGGTCTATAACGTTACATGATAGGATGATATAATGAATAATGAATTGGAAAGGATATGAAAGGAAGCGGTCATAGTATATTTTATATCATATCGGAATTTGGCTCAAAGAACTGAGGGAAACCACGTAAGGCCACTGATAGCCGGTCTTGCCGAGATTGGTACTTGAGACATACAGATAAATACGTAATTACAGAGTTTGAGACTGTTAATTCCTAACTTCGGGGGTAAAATATGGTTCTTCAGCGCTGTAAGGAGTAACAGCTACACGATTGGATTAACCCTTTGAAAAGAGAAGTTCATTTAATTAATATTTAAAGATTTTAGCCTCTTGCCCGTTAAAAGCCTGTTTTATGTGTCGTAATGCCGCTGACAGTCGTCAAGTTGGTTCGGAACATAGGGTGATGGGGGTGGGTGTTTTATTAGAAGTCTATTTATACAACTTAATATCCGGTCCAGCGTCAGAGGCCCTTAAATTTTTAAGTTAACTCTGTGCAACAGAATCCTTTTTGATAAGCTCATCTGGTCAATAAATTTACCTGAAGGCCGATTACCATTTCACAAGAGCCTACCACTTAACTTGAGCCAAATGAATCCGGTCTGCACCCTTAAACTATATGTCTTTAATGTACATTTTAATATTATCCTTACGAGTGTAACGAAGCAATAAGCAGACATTTATGTGTCCCGCTCTTCACTGTATGCTACGCACATTCAGCCCCCAATTTCGATTACGCATCAGACCTAATTATTTCCCTTGGCTGTGAATGGTTTTATTAAACCATTGTTTGAGCAACGATTTTAGCGATGCGTTAACTTCCTCTTTACTTCACAACCGAGCAACTTATTCAATTTTACCACGTCCTTCATTATCCCTCGCAATAAAGCAACAAAACGCTTTCTACGTCACTCACTCCACGTGCGCAGCTGACTTCAGACTTCCACTTCCTGTCTGTCAGGAACCAGTTCTGATGAGCATAGTTCCAGGGAAACTTGCGCGTTCTCTCATACCGTACCTTTAATGATCGAGAGTGTATCTTTTGACGGGGATGTGCGAACTTAAAAAGGGGCATTAATTCCACATGTCCGCATATATCTGTTGTTTATTTAACGATGCTTTTTCAGTAACTCAGACTATACAGCGTCAACTTAGAGGATGACAATGAACAATGATAGGAAAGGGTGTGGAAGGAAGCGGTCGTGGCCTACTTTGACATAAATTCTCAGTCAGCCTTAAAATAAGTTGAACAAACATTGTCAGTATGGCCAACATTCCACTCGTACTATCACTAATTTTCCAATTCTTGGCTTCATTTGTTATATTCCATCAGCAGACAATTATTTCTGTGTCATTCCCGGTGGTGCCCGAATTTATAACTTGTGTTGGGCAAGGCCGTGGTCTAGGCATCACGGAGTTTTCCTCCGGGGGCTTCCCCGGTTTCTCCGTG